AATCAGCAGAGCTGGCTGATGTTACCTTAACAATGTTAGTGAGGAGCGTTTTCTTCAACAGATCAGATTTCAGATTTGCCCCATCTTTTAAGCCCTCATGTCCCTCCGTCGTCGGACTAAACTCGCCCCCACTTCCTCACCGCCTCAGCCTTATCTAGACCCACAGCGTGTAGCGCAGACCACGCTTCAATATTGAGCATAAATCAAAAATGTCTGTGTCAAGCTCACTGTGACACACTCCTGTGAGAGTATAACCAGGAAGCAAGGTAGGAGGGCAAAATAGGTTTAGTGCCGACGCAGCACGGGAGGGGGAATTACGCCCAGGAGCAAATGGATAAAAATAGACCGGACATGAATCGATACTCTTGCGGACGTATCAATGCATCAGATTGTCGGCTGTTGGATCGATGCATCGATACAAAATGATTATTATTTACACCCCTAATAGGCACAGGCATGGTTTGAAAAACAACGGGTTGTTCTCATCAACAATCTTCCGATGTCTCATTCATCGGGGCAAGACTAAATTTAATCACACATTTAGTCTGGTTTATCAGGCTACGTTTACCAAGGTTCTGGAGGTGATTTTTCAAGCTCATCTAGGGCCAATGCATGGCTTTCTGCTTGTCACTTGAAGCTGGATCCAAAGTGGACCATTTTATGTCAACATAACAGAAATCTCATAAAAGAAGAAAAAAAAGAACAAGAACCATCGTGCGTTAAGGTCCAGGTCAAGCCCAGACTTCAAGACAACTGAAATGTTGGAAAAAAAGATGTAACGTTTAGAGAGAGCATAAACCCATAACCACCATGAGCTGTCAGTGATATCACAATATTGGGGATAAATGGTGACTTAATGATATAAGAACTTGATGCAGAAAATAAAATGTAGAGAACGGTGGGTTTGAAAGCCTACATGAGCATGGTGAGATCAGCCCTACGGGGATTTTCCTCTCAGGAAATGATCAGGAGAAAGCAGTGATCTGTAAACCACACCCTCTGGCTTCTGTAATCACAGACAGTGTGAAAGAACAAAGTGATTTGGTAATAAGAGCTTCACGATCATGTGCTCACTGAGCAACTACCATCTCAAATGGACTGTTAATTATTACAGTGAGAAAAATCAGTTCAGATTAAGCCTGGATTGAAGTTAGGGAAGGTCTGCAATTTGGGCAAACTGAAGACAACGGTTTGTGGTGACAGGAGCGACTCGAACATTTCTTTCAGTTGCTTTTGGCCACAGGAAGTGATGCGATGCGTGGAGAGGAAATTAAAAGATTCAAAGTTGGATTTGTGTCTATTGGGCGCGTCTCACAGGAAATCTGTCCACAGCTCCAATTTATAGGCGAGCAGAACAGGAAGGAGCAGATTTACCCCAGAACACAGACTGAAACGACTAACATGAGCACTTTATATCCCAGAAAAGCAATAAAGCTTTATTCTAATAGTTAATCTCATGCATACATTGGCCGTGTGCAATGTGCTTTTCTCCAAAACTTTGACAGTTTCAGCTTGAACTAAGAGTCACTTCCTCTTATCTGAGCGGTCTGGCACAGTTTTTCACCCAGTTAGTCTTTTATTCATCCTCCATTTTCTTTAAACAACCACCGGTGACCCCTTCTCACCCCATCTCCCTTATCAGCACTGAGCACACGCACAGCAGTGTGCCTCTGCAAGGACGCAAAGGTCTTTCCTCAATGCAACGCCTCGATGGCTCTTTATCTACTGAGCAGCGTCTGGAGTCTCCAGCCTGGCTCTGGAGCTGAATACATATTACCAAGCCGGCGTCTCCACAGCGCAGCTGTCATAAGCTGGAGGTGAAAACACAAGGGATTCATGAGGCTTGAAAATACAAAACTGGGTCCATTCTGCAGCAGAAAGCGAAGGTGACATTTCCATCTTGGGTGAAACTGAAAGCCTGATCAGAGGATCTGTGCAACACTTCAAAAAGAGGAGGACAAAAAATTTTTAAAAAATCACAGATTCACTTTCAGATTGTTTTGTGCAAGCTTCTGCTCAACAGAATGGGCTTCATTTATGAGTATTTTATGATAGTATCTGTGGTGGTTCAACTGAATAAGTTTGTGCACATATGACACATTAATTTTAAATACCAAGAGGTGTCTTTGCAGTTTCAATCAATCACAGGAGTGTGAGGATGGCCTACTTCCTACAAAATGGGGTTCAATGATGAAGACACTGACAGCAGGAGATGATTTATAGCCTGGTGCTGCAGAATCCTGGAACTATGTTCTTTGCACACATTCCCAAACATGTGAACCATGCTCTAGGGTGACCTACAGTAGATTAAATGCACATTACTAGGCATGCACACAGGGGAGTGTTTTGACATTAGGAGAAATAAAGAGTAATGTGACTTAAAGCATGAAATTGAACTAGCAGGGAAGGTTGGATCCACTGCAAGGAGAAACAAACTCCCATTTTTACCTCTTTGCCTTCATGCTGCCCCCCTTTCTAGCCGCCCTGCCGTCTTGTCTTCCCGGACGCTCGCCCTCTCCTGTGGACGATTTCCTGGCCAACTTTGCATCTCTTCTCCGATCATCGGACAGCCGGGGAGAGGATCTGTGGTCCTCCGGGTCCCGATCCGCTCCAACTTCTTTCAACAGCGGATCATCCGCGCCGCCGTTCCCCCCCAAGAAGTAAAGAAGTAGAAAAAGTCCCAAACACAGGGCGATCAGGAGTACTCTGCAGTGGATCCGCATGGTGAGAGCGGCTCGGTGCGGCATCGGCCGGGCTCATGTCTGCTGCGGAGGGAGAGCGGCCAGGGATGGCATTTTCTTACCGCTCCCCGCTCGCACTTTTCGGCGGATGATGATGGAGAGCGGTTCCTCTTCGTCCATGGAGGGTTTACACCGAGGAGGAGGGGTTTCCTCAGCTTTACCGTAATGCTCTATGTATAGCACCCCGCAAAGTTATGACTGTCACATTTCAGTACATGATGATCTTAAACTTCCGTTACTTTTATTTATATTTAATGCGATCTAGAGTGATATCCTTCAGATTTTTCTAAGTAAGAAATTTAAAATAAAATCAAATATGATGTTTTTTAACTATCAAAGCTGTTTGTGAATAGCAAACATAAGGTATCTTATCTTTTATATTATTATATATGTGTGTGTGTATATATATATATATATATATATTTATATTAGGAAAATATATGAACTAAAAACTGTAATCACCATTTTTTCCTGCCTAAAACAATAGAAAAAAAAATCACCCTTAAAGACGCATTACTTTCAAAAATGAAATTAAAGTTCTGAAACATGCTTGTTAAAAAAAACAAAACAGTTTTACAACAAGCAAATGAAAACACAATGAGAAAAGAGAGTGAAGACTTCCTCCAAATAGCTCATTTCCCCTGACATATTTCTCCCTAAGTTCATATCTGTAGTCAGTCATAGAATGTTTGAAAAACTTAATGGATCCAGATGATCATCACCAAAATATAACAATTTGTTCCTGGTAACAACATGCACGCTCTTTGAAAAATTCAGCCAAATTCAATCCAGAACTTTTTAAGTTATTTCAAAAACAGACAGACACAGAAACCAACGGCAATGAAAACCTGACCTCACTGGCAAAGGTCACTTTTTTGCAGCAAGTCAACAAAATGATGAACTGATGTCACCCTGAACTATGGGGGCCCAATGTGTGGAAAATTCAGATTTTTCAAAAAATGTAATAAATATACTTTTATAAATTATTAGAGCTATTATTTTTCTTACTAGAAATTGAGGAATTAGCAATGCAAAGTGTTGCAAATGGACATAATTTATATGCCACTTTTCTAGTAATGGAGACCTCACCCAATTTTGTTTCATCTATGCACATATTCATAAATCAATAAGCAGACAGGTAACTTGGGGTTAATTGTGTTGGTGTTGTCAAACCATAGGTTTTAAGATTACAAGATGACCTCTATTATTAATATTCTGTTTTATATATAAATAAATCTAGGAATAGAAGAATGCCTCCTGGTGCCAATCACCTTAAAGTCAGGTGTTGTGGCCTATCTTTCTTTATCAAATATGATCCCATTTCAAAGGAAATTCTACCAATGGTTTATTCTGATAATATTTATCTAAGCATGGAGAGGGATGGAGATCCATTCATGGCATACAAAGGAAAGGCAACAGATCCTATTACAATTAACTCTCTGATTTTATAACATACTGCATTCCTTGTCTATATGATGCTGTGTCTTACTAAGATGTGAAGGTCACCTAAACATTGAAGCTATTTAAAGAAAAATCCCCACAGAAAGCCAAAGCTGCAGTCAGGGGCGGAGCAAGATGGGGGGCTAGGGGTGGCCCTGCCCCCCCTTGGCCAAACACTGACCACCCATACTATTTTTTTCCCCTCTAATACAGATGTTGGCAGCAGTAATCCTCTCAAGTGGAATATTCAAGACGTTTAAATTTTTTATATATTAACAATGTGGTTAATTATCCACAGCAATACACTAACATTAATGATCATAAGTACATAATTCATGCTCTTTTCAGAACTAGATTTTGTGTTTTATGGGGTAAAGAGAAAATCGTGTGTCTCTGCAAGTCATCTAAGAGTCTTCAGTGAAATTATTGATAAATAACTATTTTAATAAAACATATGAAATCGTGTATTTATGTAGATATTAGTACTTGTAAATATAAATTTTATGCTGAATGATTATTAATAAAAGTAGGTAAATAATGACAACGGAAAAGATGTTATCCCAAAACTCAAACCTGAAAGAATTGTATCCACTATACCTTTTATCTAGAAAGCACAGATGTTGAAATATTTATGCGTCTATTTGTCAGCAAAGGTAGTAGGAAAGTATAGTTTGTCTTTATTTAGCTAATAGGGATGTTGTGCTCGATAATTTTCTTGTTGTAAAAGTGTAGATTCAACCTGAGGTTCTGGCGCCTATTCACTTTCAGCCACCCCTCAGTGTACATTGGTTATTGCCTGGCCACCCTTATAAAAAGTTTCTGGCTACAGTTTGAGGATCTTCCTGCAGCAGCTATAGACCCAATGGCGTAACCATACAACAATGGTCCCATAAGCAACATTATCTGGATGGGCCTCATATGAAGTACAACACTCTGGATTACCCATAATTCCAAGTTGTAGTGTAAAAAATAGAATACTCAAATACATTGTTCTTTTAGGACCTTTATTGTTGTTTGAAACATAAATATAGGAGTGTGTTTTTTACCAACCGTCTAATGAACTACAGTATACACAGTTGTTAACATAGTAATTAAAAGTATCACTGTCTGCTTTGCTATTGGTGTTTAAAGAGCATGTTGAAATCTGCCAGGTGTTGGGGTATAAATACAGTCTGGTCAGTCACTTACTTTAAAATCAGGTGGGTTTTAAGAGCAATTTTTTGCACCATTACTGTGTTCTAGTCCAGAATTGTGAAGGGGGCCAACCAGGTGTCAGTGACGGGGCCCCTAAGCAAATGCAGTCTCTGCTTATTGTGTAGACCAAATCTACTGTGACCATTGAGATCTAGATTTTAACTTGTAAGCATTATTTGTGCTGTCAGACAGGTGGCATTTTAATAACTTCTTCATTCTTTATATCTGGCAGTAATCAGGACTGGGTGTGGGAAAAAAAGTCTGAAATCATCAAGTTAAACAAATGATAATGATTTAAAAGTGGTAGTTTTGGATAATGAATAAGACTGTGATTATTAAATATTAATCATATTAATGTTTCAACATTAATCATCTTTCCTTTTTTAAATGGTTCTTATTGTTAAGGTGAAGGACGGCACACTTTTTGCTAAAACTTGAATCTGTTGTTTTGTATTCGGGTCGCAGAATACCCATATTGGTGATAAAGTGGATTTTCCGACTTTTCTGACATTTATCAAATTTGAACGAGTCACTTTATTTTAAAATTCAACACGTTCAATCTGAAGTGTTTATTTGGACACTGTTAACGAAAGAAATCGGCTTTCCTCTTTTTTTTATTTTGCTCCGGCAAATTCTAACCGCCCGTTTTCACTAAACATTACGCTAAAGGGATGGTCGATCTAACAGCGTTCAGAACCTCCTGGTAAAGCTCAGACTGTTTGGGGTAAGTTAGTTTCTTTCAGATTCTCATTTGTTTTTAAAAACGCTCTAAATCAGCTACTCTGTTTCACACTGAGCAGATCACAGAGCTGCAATCTGTTGCTACTCTGAGACCCACGAGGAGACACGTCACGCGTTAGCTTGCTCCAGCCTGCAGCAGCTAGCTAACTGTAAACAGAACTCCCTTTGAAAACGCTCTATTTTACAAAACCCGTGTACCCGCTTCAAAGGGGTTCGTTTTGCGGTCAAATGTTAGCGAATTTCCAATTTTCGGTGTCGATGTATGATTTCGGGTACAGTACAATTATATTTATAGCAAGTTTATTCTCATTTTTCTTTATTTTAAAAAGTAATTTTGAGCCTCAGCATCTGGTGCGCCTAGTGAACCGTAATTGTTGATATGATTAAATTAGGCTCTTTTCTTTCAAGAACACTTGTGCAGCTTAAATATGTTGGCAATTAAAAGTTTGGTTACTTGTTAAACAAACACGGAAAACATACTCCATGTTATAAATAAAGAGCAGTTATAAATGTTGTGAGAAAGTAAGCCAGTCTCACTCAGAAGGTTTAGCATTTCTCAATTTAAAGCGCTGCTGTGCCACACATGTGTTTTAGTTTATAATTTTAACTGTCACAGACACGTGTCTGCTGTCGCCACATTAAAAAAACCTGTCCCCTCCAGCAGGGGGCGTGCTGTAGTCAGCTGACAGCTGGAACAACAGTCTGGTGCCTTCATTTGAAATGCACACCATCACCACAAACTGATTACTCTTACTGTCCTTTAACTTGCAGGTCTTTATCATATGATAATTCATCATGATCACCCCTGCGTTTGACCTGACCCAGGATCCAGATTATCTGACCATCTGCATCAGAGCTCCATACACCAGAACGTCAGAGTTTGATCTGTTCATCGACGGCACTGATTTCAAGTTCTATGCAAAGCCCTACTTTCTTAGGTGAGTTCATTACTTTCACTTGGCTGCAGCTATGATAGTTTTAAGCTTGTTTTTTTTGTTATCTCTTTTTAATATCTAATCTGTTATTGTTAGGTTAAGTCTTCCTGGAAGAATCATAGAAGATGGGAAGGAAAAAGCCACATTTGACATTGATAAAGGTGAGTTGGATCCAGGCTCGGAATAATAATCTGTGATACCGGCCCTGGTGGGGGCCGATCCTAATTTCAGCGTGTGAGGGCCAACCCTCCTTAAATCATACCGGCCCCAACACTTACTCTCTAGCCTAAGCTCCTACCTGAGACAGTAAACAACCAAAAGAGCTCAAGAAGTAATACAATTTTAACTACTTAAATGATGCATGCAGTATATATAGCCCTTCCTTGTCATGCACATTGTGACGGTTGGTATATGGTGTCATTTTCTATTTCTTCAAATCGTAAAATCCTTGCAACAAACTAAATTATAATAAAACCAAATTGCTTTCTTTAAACCAAACTACGACATTCCTCTTTTATTTGGTGAATTTATGTTTGAATATTTTTGCAGAAATATATCGCGGTGCATGAATATTTTGCAAAAATATGTTTTGCATCTGTTTACATTATTCCATCTCATTGCCCACATGCCACCTAGACTGGCAGTGAATGCTTAGACACCGCTGAGCTTTCATGTATTCATTCTTGAAGAACTTCCTAGTATGTGTGACCTAGTATGTGTAAGTGCGTGTCTGGCTGGCTTCATGCAAGTGTGGACGTTATGCTGCAGCAGTCACTGTCGCGTCCGTGTTAATAACCAAAGCCAGTAAAACTGCATTATAGAAGTCGTGGTGATGGTCGGTTAGGGATGAAAATCGTTCACAGTCTGAGCCTGGTTGGATCATTATTTCAAGAGCAAATTTTAGTCATAAAAATCATGTAAATCAAATTTGTTTCCAATTTGTTATGAAAAATCTTTCTGTTTCAGCTTTTCTAACACTCCAGCAGAGATTTAGACATTTACTGTATTTCTTTTGTTCATTAGGAGTCCTACATTTTCAGTAGGATTGGCCTTCCTAAGCATTTTCAGCAGATAATTATTTAGCACCATTATGGTCCTAAACTCCACATTTTAAGTGGCTGTTTTGATATTTATTAGCTTGACTCAATATGTTTATGATATTTAAAATATATTTCTTCATAGTCAAAATAATACAAATGATGACCTGTATATTAGGAATATGGAGATCGGAAATTATTTTCTAGACATCCATAATGTTTATTCTAGATATGAAGAATGTAATTTAGTTTCAAAGGCATAGTACATGAAAGGAATCCTTAAAGCTCATTTCACCATAGTAAGTTACAGTCCAACAAGAATTTTGGACAAATCTTTTGCAGTTTTTAACGATTGATCCAAGGGGCATCTTTAGCCTATGCTTCAATCAACGAGCCACTCTGAATCGGCTAGTTTGTTCATTTATTTAACGGGCCCCTGAAACCATCTGTAATGTTGCAATGAGTACTACCCCCAGGCTGTCTCTTGTATTTGTTATTTGGCTAATAGTTCATTGGGGCATGTCCTCTAACCACACAAATAATAAGAATTATCACAACTAACTTGGTTTTATTAAGTTGTTCTTATGGCTTTTGTACAATAACATTTTCCTTTTCTCACAGAGCCCGTTTTACCAGAGTGTCAGCATATCTGCTGCTTACAAACTGTCTGTATGAGCCTGCAATGTTTGCCAATAAAGCTCTGCTAATGGGTGGCCTTGTTTAGACTTCTAATGAGCAATCATTAAGATACCTCTTCGAGGCTCTCCATTCTTAAGCTATTTGTTATTTTCCCTTGCAAAGTGGTTTAAGCTCCAACACTTGGGTGCATTGAAATTTTTATGAGGTCTTGAGGCAACCTCTAGATTAGCTCTGCGGTGGGGCAAAATGATTTAAGTCATCAATCCTGTATAGCCTTTATAGTTATATAAGCTGTCTTTAAAGCAGCCTCTGTTTTTAAAGTAAGTAGAAAGAAAGAACTCTGTAGGATTCTTAGGTTTACCCTACATTTAAAGAGGATTTTTGTGAATTTTTGAAAAGAACAGTCCTCGCCACCTTTAAAAAAAAAATGCACATGCACAACCCTGTACCCTCTCACTAGATGGAACGCCTGTTTAAACGTGTGCGAGAGCATGCACAAGCCCATTTCTCCTTATGCGAGCTCTGTTTAAAAGTTCTTGTTTACATCGCTCATACAAGCTTACTTTGCAAAAGAAGATTTGCAATTTTTCCACTATGTCAGACTCGCCCCCGGTAAGTGAAAATGCGGATGAGCACGGAGGACGTTTTAAAACTGACTTACCTAATAAGCTGGGTTCAGTTGGCCAAGTCTAGTTACCATCTTCGTCCTAAAGCTGATTTGCGCTAAGTTGGAGCCGGTAAACATAGCCAGGTTTTTAACCAGGGATCGATGTGAATATCTTAAACTCTAGCTCCTGCCTCCAGTTCCCATCTCCTCTCCCAGCTCCTTTCCAGGTTCGGAAAAGAGCTCCAGGCTGCTGTGCTGAATCCAAACAGCCTTCTGCCTTACAGATGTCATTCATATGAAAGAGACTGCTCAAATTAGGACTACAGCCTTTATGGAAAAAAACTACACGTTACACAAACATATTCAACAGCTGAAGCTGTCCATGATTAAACCAAAACCTAATGATGGTGATGACATTAGGTGTTCAGAACGATACATGAACGATACAGATAGTGTAATAGATTGATGGTGATGCCTTTGCCTTTCTCAAAAATGTAAATGGCCTTTCTGGATCCTGCTGACCTCCTCCTCCTTCAGTACAAGGGGAAAAATTAAAAGTTAAAAGCAGTTCATGGTTCTAAAATTGTAACTTAAATTTCCAGACTGAAACTAGACTAAAATGAGAAAGTATTTGCATAAATGTTCACTGAAATAATTTTCATTTTTATAAAAAAAAAAAAAACAACAACAAAGAATAACATTTATTTACATTGCTTTTATAATTGCCAGGGGTTGCATTTCAAATTTAATTTGAGTATATTTCCGGAAATAGTGTTTCTGATTAAAGATGAGACAATTCAAACAATAAATGTATCTGCAATGGCCTGCCATTCTTTGCCCTGGTTATATTCATGATAAAAGTGTTTCCTGAGAGGTTTTGACAAACGAAATGCTGTAGTCTCGCCATAGTTAATTAATAAACCCTGTGGTCAATTAGTTGGACCTGTGGAGGAGTCCTTTGGAAACCTAGTACTCACAGCCTGACATGTTTTGCATTAGCTTGGTTAGAATTGGCTTTTATCAGCAATATTATACTGAATGAAAAGTTCTGGTTCTACTGGTGGGCCTAACTCACAGGTGTCCCCCATTTCTATTTTTGTAAATTACAAACTTACAATCTGGTCAATTTATTTGAAGCCCACTTCTACAAGAACTTGGTTTAAAAAGAAGTGTTTTTGGTTAAAGTGCCTCACTGAGTGTAATTTTCAGCATGTTCTGGTAAATGTCCAAATAGAAGTAAAAATAAAGTCCAAATAAAAAGTGACAACATTAAAAGCATCCAGGCTTGGCCCTGGTTCCTATCAGATCTTCCATTGTGTTATAATGAAGGGAAGCTTCAGTGTCTGATGTGATCTCTGTAGAGATGAAAGCAGGAGAATTAAATAGGACTATTATATTTGTAAAAGTAGTAAAGAGAGTGAATACGGCAGTAAATTATTATATATTATAGCTTCTTATTTTTCTGCATGATCTTCAGTCAAGAAAAAAAATGAAGCTCGATAAAGAAACGCCATGTCCATTGAATAAGAATAATTCTAATGTTTCTGCTCAGGTGTGTGTCAGGTCCAGGTCTACTGGTTACTATAATGGGACAGAACTTTTCTTAACTGTTTTTGTGAAAAAAAAAAAATAATAATAATAAAAAAAAACCTAACATGGCATTGAGTTTATTGGAGCGAGGCTCTCACAGTGCCACACTCTCATCTTCAGCTCCAACCGTTATTTAAGGAAGGTTTTATGTTGTTTTTTGTTTGTCTGCTTGTTTCTAAGTTGAACCTTCCTGTTATCTCTAGAAACTCTTGTTCTCTCATCCCTACACGTCTGTGCCTCCCTTTTCCTTAAAACCTTAACCTCACTGATAATGGAATAAGCACATTTAAGCCTTGTTTTGTCAAGGTAGCTCTTCATCAAGTCAAACTGAAATGTTTTGCACCTTGTTGAATCACATTCAAAGAACATTTTATGTTCTTTAACTTAAGGTTGACAAGTAATGTTGCAGAAAATGTGCTTAAAGAAGTGAATCCTGGATGTTTGGCTCGGTTACACAGTAGTTATGTAATGTTTATACGTGTCCTGCTCTGTTATCCTTGCTGTAGGGGTTTTCACACTTAAGGTCCCCAAGGAAACTCCAGGGGAGCATTTCGAAGGGCTTCAAATGCTCACCAGTCTGCTGGCTCCAAAAGGCTCACGATCAGCAAAGCCTCTGGTGGAGGACGTGAGCGGCGGTGAGTCCCAGAACTTATCTGTACGTTTGCTTAGTTATTAGACCTCGCCTTTGGGGGAAGGATTGAACATGACTCCTCCTTAATCTGTCAAAGAAGGCAGTGAAACCTCAGGAAATGGTGAAGAGGAGGAGGATGAAGAGGAGTTTGACTGGCAACTTGAACAGGAGGCCTACTTGGAGCAATCCGAAGAGGAGATGGGGGCTCTGCAGAAATACGGCTTTGGTAATCAAAGGTCCGGAGTATTTTCGCGGTTACAGGTAGGCTCTGTGGGGATGGCGACCCTGTATAATCGACCTACTGTAGGTTTGAGTAAAAATATTCACCGAGTCCCTCTGAACACCTTAAAGGAGGAACTCGGGGATGTGATAGACCTGAAGAACCCAGAGGGAACGTCTGCGTCCGAGAGGCGTCGGGCTCGGCTGGAGGCAGAGGCATCAGCTTTCTCTTCTGACCATTACTTGTGAGTAAGCTCATTAATCCCCACATGCTAGACTTCCTGCTTCCTTCTGCTAAGACCTCTATCATTTCAGAGCTGATTTGTTTGAAGACGATGAGATAAATTGTCTGCTGAAATTTACACCGTGGTGGTCAAAGCTGAGTCCATCTGCAGATCCAGAGGGAGAATCTGGTGAGTTTATAGCTACGATCTGTGCAAAGGTTTGTTTATTAATTCATTTTGACCCTACGTGGTGTTAAGGTCAATCCAAATCTTTTTTATAAAAGATAACCTCTTCAAAAAGACTCTAGCACACTGATGAAAAGGTTTACAACTAAAACCAAGTCTCTCCTCCATCTTACCTGAGTGAAGAAGAAGTTTAACAATAGTTAAATAGCTGAAATAACCAAGAAAGACAGTGTTTGTTTGGTAGTTAAATGGATTATTGACGTATGAGATGAATTTAAAGCGATTCCAATTGAATCTTGAGTTGACAAGTCTTCACTGGGGCCCTGAGAACCTCCAGTTGTCACTATGTCAGCTTGTGTTTCCTAAAGCTGGGCTAACACTGTGCAATTTTTTTTAAAATTTTTGTCCTTTTCAGGCCGACTTTTCAGTCTTGTGAGAATTTTTCGATCGGGCTAACTTTCAGCCTGATTATGCGTCGTTTAGTGTACAGGGGGTAAAGAGGGGCGATCAGCCTCTCACAACCATCAGGAATCGTGAGGTCAGGGGAAAATCAAGCATGTTTGATTTTCAGTCAACCGTTGTGGGCAAAACGCTCAGAGGGCACAAGCAAACAAAGATTCTTCTTCTTCTTCCTCTCAGATCAAAACACACAAGCATGGTGGGGGTGCAACAAGTGAAATTGAGTTAATTCTGTAAAATTACAGGCCGTAGTAGGCACACTTGCTCAGCATGTCTTTGTCCAAATACGTCACCGCCTTTTCTTCTTAGGGCTTTCAGCACAAAATTGCACAAATTACCAAGGCAGCGCATTTCACTCTAGTGAGCTTCATATTCCCCTTCTATTTGTTTGGCTTCTGGATAGACGAGTCAGAGTAGCACCATCTCACTGCGGACCTGAGTCCAACGTGGTTTTTAGACGTACAGTGTGAGCAGGTAGATCACATCAGAGCAAAACCCTGCGGTTTCATCGCGCAGTGTGAGCTGCAGCTTTGTGCAACGATAAAAAAAAATCGCAGAGTCTACGCCCGGCTTAACCCTGTATAGGGAACTTAGTGAAATACTTTGAAAATAAAAATTTCCAGCCAATAGTGTTATTGGAATCCAGGACAAGAGCTTATTACCTTTGTAACATTCAAAAAATATGGATAAGAAAAGCTAACTTTCCCGAATATATTAAGAAAAATAACAAAAGTGCTTCTATAAGATATTAATTTAAAAAACACTGAGAGTGAAAGAATAACTTTTTTTTAACAACATAACCTTAGAGGCATTTAAGGTTAAATGGCACTTAAATCTTTTTAGTTTATAAACCTAAATATAATTGTTAACTAGGCTTATTAACTTCTTAACTTTACTTTTTCACTTTTCAATTAGCTTTTTACCTTTTTTTCTTGAGTTGTTAACTTTATTTTTCAACTTAATTTACAGTAGTTAATATCTCACTGAAGGGCTCATTCATTTGGTCAAATGCCAAAATAAGATGTACAGCCATGTAGCAGTATCTTTGCTGAATGTCTGGATATAGATCTGGTGTTTCTAGACTCTATTTGTATGGGGTATGCAAGGGATCAAATACGCCAACTTGCCTTATAAAGTTAAACTAAGTTAAACTGGCTGCATCTCAGCAAAAAAAAAAAAAGCAATTGTACTACTCCGATGAATTCAGTTTGCAGGACTTAATTATGTATATTACACTTCTACTATTTGTTTTATGTCCTATAATGTCTCTTGCAGGGCTTTGTAGGAAAATCGCTAACTTTTGAGAGTCCCATTTTTCTGATTACAAGACCAATAATAATTTTTTGTTTTAGCATAGCAGTCTTTTCAGTCTCTGTTCCCAGGACTGACATTTTAAATCTTCTCCAGACACATTTGGGAGTTGAAACATTTCATATGCAGAGCGGTAAACAGAAACCTGATAGGCGGCCATTGTGCCTGCCAGACACCGTCATGGTTGTCTAACAATACATTAATTCCCAAAAGGACACATGAGCTTTTTTTTTTTTCCTTTCTTTACTGCACTCCTCTGTGGGAGTGAGACATCAGCTCATTTGTTACTGAGCTGCACTCTTTGTTAGAGTGCCTCGGGGCTCTTTAACAGAAAAGACACTTACCATTATGAGGGATTGAACTTGGACCTGCTCTAATCGCTACATCTCTGCTCTGCCTCTTGGCCAATTTAAGCGCCAGCGTTTGCAGCGCAGAGAGTTCTGAGTTGGAATGCAATTTGCTTTCCTCCATCTTCTCTCTGCTTTATATTCAGCTTCTCTTTTTGCAGTCACTTCCCATTCTTTTCCAATCAGTGCCTGGTTTTCATGCAGCCGATAACTGCAGGCTCTCAGAGTTCTCTGTGCGGAGGTGATAACTCATGAACCTTTGCTCTGCGAGGGTGTTTAATTGTGCCACTAGCTTCTCCTAACAGCCTGCTAATTCCAGCACATCCACCGTTTAAGCTGGCACGTCGCTCAAAGCTACAGCAGGAGTGCACTGGAGTCAGATTAAGGAGGGATTTAGATTGAACAGATTATTTGGAGGAGGAAATGCACTTGGTGGTGTTTTTTATAGCAACGGTGGGATCCGGCCATCGCCTGCAGGCGCTTTTTTTGCAGCTCCTTCTCCTCACTCTGCTGTCTGAGAAAGAGCGGCTCAGTCAGCGGCACAGTCGTGGATAAATGGGCCAAATTAAACTTAATGGCTTGATTGACAGCTGGAACGGCATTAGTCCCAGCTGAGTATGAAGAATGGCGTCAGTCAGAGAGTTCAAGCAGCTTGCCATCAAATCTTAAATGGCTTGCTCATGATTTTAATAGTTAACCATATATTTCAATCACAAGTCTTGTTTTTTTTTGTTTTTTTTTACCTCACCTTGCCGTTTTTACCGTCTGCTGAATCTGATATATATGTCACCTGACAGATGGATGAGGACATGGATGCTAATGAAGTAGAAAGTGGCCTCTTTGTGCTGTGCTATGTCAGGGCCAACCCACTGACAGGCCACAGCTGTCCTCTGGGGGTCTGTATTTACCCACCGATCTGCTATAAGTGGTCCTGACAGCTCAGGCTCTTTGTATCTCCTCCACTCTCCTTTGGATGTGTAAAGAAATCTGATCCTTGGCCATCTTAGATGGCCATCTGTTGACATGGAGTCCCAGTGTTGATGGTTTGAGACAGTTCATCACATGTCCCTTTGATTTGATGCTTGACTCTATCACAGGCCCACATCAACTGGTATTTTGACCTCTGGCTCTGGAGTTACCCTGGGAGGGTAGTCTGACTCTCAGACTCTCAGCAGTATTTTTGAAGCGTGTTTGCTGCATGCCGCTGTGCCATCTGGACCTGCAGAGAGCAGCCACGAGCCAAGCTGCCGTTTCCAACTGGAGGAATTAGGTCAGAAATTAATTTCCCATCACTCTGCTCTTCAAAAGCCTCACGCTAATGCCGGGTACAATTGACAGGTCCAACAGTGATGATGAATGAACCTGGTGGTGAGTAATATCAGCTCTGCAGAGTTAATAGAAAATCCGTGGGCCTCATATTGCTGCTGTGTGGATTTGAATATTAGGTTTTGATGAGATGTTGAAGAGCATCTTAGCTCTGGGAAGAAGCCCACCCCTGATCCGAGACTTCTGACTCACATATGATGCCTTGAAAAAGTATTCACATCCTTTTAATTTGTTTTCAATTGAAAAACTTCATTGTGTTTTTTTCTGGAATCTGGAATCCTTGAGTCTGTTGTGGCGGCACCTTTACCAGCAGTAAGAGCTACAAATCTTTTAATAATTTTCTCTCAATCTCTGCTGCTGCATCAGTCCAAAGCCTGATGTCCTGTCCCTGATTTTCCCCTTTTGATCCAGTCCTTTTAATGTCGTTCTCCTAATGTGGATGAAATTCCTGCCACAGTCGAAACTCCTTTGCAGGTTTTTCCTCTTGGTTTGCTACTGTGTATTTAGCTCTGTCCATCTCAGCTTTAGTCAGATCCCCTGTCTTTGCTAAACAAAAGTCATCCTCATAGCACAATGTTGCTCTATAGACATAAGGTGTTCATTATCTCAGTTTAAGTTTCATCTGGTGAGAGGACCTTCCTCCTCTTCCTTGCAGTTATTTGGCGGGTTGCGGCCTAGTGGTTTGGGCATAAACCTTGGAATCCTGAGCTTCTGAGTAGGGATGGGAATCGAAAACCGGTTCCTGTTCAGAACCGGTTCCGTGTGTTCCATTTCCATGGCACCGTTTGGCAGCTTGTTAAACGGTTCTCTTAACAGTTCCAGGCAGCACCACGGCCCTTTTTTTACGCAAGTTACGCACACGGCATTCAGTAAGCAAGTACGAAGTGACCAGGCGTAAGTCTAGAAAAGCAAAACAAAAAAAAATGGCGTCCCATCGGGTAAACCGATCGAATGTTTGGATGTAAAGTGGCAATGACATCCTCGGGAGGAAATACATCCAACATGCAGGAACCACTGCACACACAATATCGCATACATTTTAACGAATGCCGTGTTTTTAATGCTTCCGGAAAGAAGCTAAAGTAATGACCAGCATGGAAGGCAACTCTGGTGGTAACTAGCTAGTTTTATATCACTGGCTGTGCTTAATGTGGTTCCTAGTAAATCAGATGCCATTTCTGGAAATAAACCCATTTCCTTCCTCTTTGGGGTTATTAAACATGCTACGAAGTTGCTTCGCAGTTCAGGGAGATAGAGAAAGATGACCATTTAAATCAGGAGGAGATTAGTTTATTTCCTAAAATGGTACAGTAATGATTTTTCATTAAACAGATGCCTTCACCATTAGATTTAGATGACTGTGAGAAGACTGGCTGGCTCAGAGGCTGGCAGCTCCCGTTCACGGCCTTCTGTTTTTGCCGAGGCAGGCAGAAATAGAATGACACAGGCGAAGGTAGACGAATGTCACCGTGCACAAATTTATTGTTTCATAGAATCGATAAGAGAATCGACTACTACTCTTGGTCTCTGTGCAAGACCCCTAACCCCACACTGCTCCCC